GTGTCAATTTATTCTCCTCAGGAATCATTTTCATTTCCATTCAGTTTATTTTCATGATGTTGTCCTCCAGTTCGTTTTTTATCTTTGTTTTCCCACATCAACAAGAAGGGGAGGCGATGGAAATGCAGATTCTTGTATTGCCACACCCAGATCAAGGTATTTAACCTATAATTTGCACGCTCGTTGTCCCAAAACAAGTAGATACCAATTGAAATTATCATCGCCTAAGACACGCAACTGTTTTTGGGCATAAAAACAGCGCAAAGAACTTTGATGGGGAAATGTACTAAAACATAACTTCAGTAGCATTTTGAATTAGTTTTTTTAATTAACCGTTTGCTGAAATAGAATCACTTATGGCTTAGCGTTTGTATGAAAGTGCCTCTCTTCTAAGTAGAATGACCAGCTATAGATTCGTGTTTAGGGGAAAGACGAGTCTTACACTCTTGTATTTATCCATTGATCAAGATGCGCTAGAGCAGCATGGTGACAATCAAATTGGAATTGGCCAACAGCTTCACAAGGAGGGTATGTAATGACATCATTGTTGATTACAATGTTTTTATAATTATCAAGATCATTTGATTCATTCGAAAATGTATCTCATAAAAGTCGTCAAAAAATCGTTTTGCTTTTGATCTTGTGTTAGGAAGCTTTTTCGCTCACTAATTTATATGTGTATTTAGATCAGCAAGGAGCTGAAATGCTGGAAATGCAGCAAATACCCCCCCAAGAACAAGGTTATTCACAACTTTTTCTATCTGGTCAACTGACAAACAACAACATAAATAATAACTATCCATTTTACTATTGGTTTTCCAGCTTATTCGATTAGCATTATTGTGGTTTCTCTTAAACTTTGTTTTCCTTTTAACTTTAATTTAGAAGAAGGCCACGAAGGAGAAGAAGACATTGTTGAAGAATATGATCTGGAATATGATACAAAGTTGTAATCATTGGTCGATAAAAGGATAATGAGTAAACACCAGTTTAACCCTAAACTTCTTAGTAATCTGTAATAAGTAATTAGTAATTAGTAATCCTTTTTAACTTATTTTATTGTTATAGATAACAATAATTTTATGTCATCAGGATGATACGTAGAGCTTATAGGACTGTTTATTCTAGATACCTGCAAGCTGTAAGATACGTTTGAATTGCAATGGAAGGGGGGGGGGGTGCCCTGTTAATCGCAACTGATGGCTCAGGAATAAATTTACCACCTAAATGTAGTTAGATTTCCCTTGCTGTAGTCCGTGAACACTCAATAAAACGAGCAATATGTATTATTATTAACAAAGGGTTAGCTACGAAAAGAAGATTTCCACCAATAGCCGTAATAGTTTGGTGGAACGCAATAGGTTTATTTAAAGCAAGATTACCTTCCAAATTTTTCCCGATCAGGTCGGACAGGAGAAAATTTCTTGCAAAGTTGATAATTTCATTTAAAAAATGTGATCTTCTTTGATATCACTGACCTTCTGATTCAAACGGTTGTTCTCCATATACCAGTCAGAAAAGAAACGTACTTTCTTACCAGAAAATGATGATAGATGATAGAGTTTTAAATTAGAAAGACCAGTCGATATAGAAGCTACATTTGCTCACAAATCTTAACAAACCTTTCATTGATTTGAGACCTCAGGGGAGAGCAGGGCTATCCTGTAAAACTCTCATTCAAGCTATGTATAGATGGAAAACTGCAAAGAGAAAATATGCCATCCACTAAGTATATCTTCTACACGGGTAAAACCGATGTTGTTAAAAGAGCTGCTTATTGACATATATGGCCTCTGTTTACATATTATTGTCGATTCTATGATGCATGTAGTCAATAACAGATAATAAAGCATTCAATATTTCTAGTATATTATCTCAGTCGGAAAGAATGAAGAAAAACATGAGTAATACAGCGAAGTAGCTTGACAACTTTGCAATATCATTGTTTAGATTTTCCTTTGTCTTTAATTGTCTAGATAACATGTCTGTCTCATTTACAAGTTATGAATAACTTGTTGAAATTAGTTTGCATCTATCTGCAAGTCGTTGTTAGTAGATGATGATATTGAAGGTTAGCATAACACTAAATTTGACGTAATTTTAAATACAAAAAAATTAACGCTAATAAATCTCAATATCCGACAGTGGAGTGCTTTTGTGTGCTTCACCAAACGTAAATCACCAAAACTGGTGAGAAGTCTTGGTTTGGCCAGTCAAACACTGATCCCATTGTTTAGAAAGAGTTTACTGGAGTTGCCAAAGTTGAACAAATTTCTACCTCATCCCAGTTACGCCCCTCCCCCCCTCCCTCCCCACGAACTAAATGAACAGTCTCAGTGCATTGCATAGTTTCTCGCAATAAATGATGATAAAAATAAGAAAAGGAATAAAATACGTGGGAAGCTAACTTTATTTGGTTCATTAAATACCTTTTTATAAGGATTTCATGTAAAAATCATTTTTACAAAGAGAATTGAATAAGGTTCTAAACATAACATCACGGAAGTCGATGGAGATTCAGCTGTCTAAAGAATGAAAGGGATGTCACTACGATTTAAAATTAACTAACGCATTGGCGAAAATATAAAATTCATTTATTTTTATCAACAAATTCCAGCAACAAATCGAGGAAAATGCAAAACGATTCATCACATTCGCCTGTATAAAGATCATGAGTAGTGTGAAGCAACAGCATAAGGAAACGATGCCTCATCGTGAACCCGAGGCTGACAATCATTCAGACGAAAACTTTAGTCGCTTTTGTATTTGACTGTAATCGACACACATCTTGATTTGCAAACTGCATCTGACATGAATGTTCCACCATCCCTGCTACCGCACTGAAAATAAATGCGATTTTCGAGGAGAAGAGCTGTTAAACAAGCGCCTGACCTTTGTTGAAGTTGATTTCTGATAGTTTCGATAAGTCTGGCTCTTATTAGTTTGTTAAGTTACTGGAACATCGTTTCTGCGAATTATTTTGCTTATTCATCCAACAAACATGTAATAACTATGGTATAAAATTATGATTTCCTACAGAAATATTTTTGTATGTTTCCTTTCTTTCTCATCAACTTATTATTCACCTCAGTGTCGGTAAAAGTGGTGAATATTTACCTCACCGCTTAGCGGCTAGGTAAGTATCGACCATTATTCACCTCCACTTCGATGAATAATTGTTAAATAGCGGTCTATTGCTTGTCAGCGGTCAACATCCATTTTGAAATCGTTGAGTATCAATAATCTCTCCTCTCTGATAATTTAGTTCGGCGCGGGGGGAGGGGACGGGGGGGACGGCAGGGAGGGGAGGAATTCGTAGATACTCAGTTTCAGCACCACTGTCGCCATTGGTGCGTTCTGTGATCGCCTATCAAACCACTTTCCGAAAACCATCCTCCTCGAGGGGAGGGGAGGGGAGGGGATAGAAGTATTTGCACTTGAGCGCTTACGGCATGTTACATTTTAGAAGATTTTAGATAAAACGTTGTTCTTTTTGTCTTCTAAAGTAAATATTTGATTCTTTAAAAGCTGGTAATGTGTTGATGACTCATTTCATGTCGATTATATCATATAAAATTGCAAAACTGGTTAAAAGGCACAATTGCTGACGTTATTGTAATGTTTGTGAATGTCATCATAAAATGTGATTTTTCATAAAACCAACGAACAAAGTTTGTCAATTTTTGCGCCCAACGGTTTAGTTACTGGCATTTTAACGGTCAATCCCGTTGAAACCCTCTGAGTTGTTCTTATTATCAAATGTGCTAAAACACGATTCAGGAAATTTCCCATTAAAGCCTTATTCAGATACAGTAGTGCCTTAAAGGACTATATTTATCTTGCTAATTATGATAAAGCTGAATCTTGTCGTTTTTAACTGCTCTGTGAGGTAAACAGCCTCGGTAATCGTTAAAATGAAGGAAAAATTCATTATCCATCATTTTACGTTATTTAATCAAACTCTTAACTCAACTCAATCTTCTCAAACTTTCCCTCAACCCATCAGCTGAAAACAGAAGATGGTGCCCAGAAGGACCTTCTGGGGTTTCATTATTGCTTTCTGTAAGTACTGTTGTCTTTGTTTGCTAGAATCAAGTTAAGAGACCAGAAATCTTATAAAGTCCTATTCCAACGCATCGCAAAACGACTTTTTTTGTGCTTCTCAAATATTTTGTCCCTTTTCACCTCCATGGTGTCCAACGAGAGAGGCACGCGGCAGAGAATCCCTTAGGGGATTGCGAAAATCGAGTTACTGCTCACGGGTAAATTACGAGACAGCTCTGCGCCTCAGTTAATTTTAGCTTCTCTCGCTAATTCGATCCTCTTTGCTTCCTGAGAGGAGACGGCTGTGCACGCCGTGACGGTGAGCCTTGACGTAATTACAAACTTCAATTGATTCAGGGAAAATCTTCAACACAAGAAAATACATGTTAATGATTCGCTTCGTTAAAGTTTCAAGTAAAGTGCACATCCAAAACGATCACCTTTACAAATTATACAAGTCATCCAATGAGCTTAGAAGAAACAAATCCTTTTCATCGTTGCTGTTTTGTCCCTTACTTTCAAAAAGAAAATAATCTATCAAAAAGGCGATTAAAATACTTCATTAGTCATAATCTTGATGCCAAACTGAGACATCGAAAGAAAAATTCAAATATGTTTCTTACGTGTATATTTATCTTACTAGTTTTCATAGACATAGCAAATCTCCACCTAATTTGACGCTTGTGGCTTTCGATTAAAACGGCGGATCGAGTTTGGCTTTCCGTTGTGGCTCTATGAAAGCTGCTTCCATTTGAAATGCTACCTCTAAATAGCTTTGTATTGAAATATTTCGAAACCTAGGCGAGGAGTCTCCTCCTGTGTCCTCTCGTTTTTTCTTTATTTTATTTGCAGTTTTGCTAATACTGGAAGTACGCCTTCAGAGAGTTGTCCCACGATTTAACTTAAGTATACTCTTACAAGCGCCAAAAGGACATTACGTGGAACTGAATTTAACCATGGAGAGTTCATATCTAACACCCTGCATTGATGATAAGTACCTTGAGGTTCGTGATGGATACAACAAGTCTGCCAATCTTCTTGGTGTATTTTGTGGAGGGAACATTTCTGTTGTTATGCGATCCAGTGGACAGAACTTGTGGATCAGAAAATCAGTTCATTATATTGGCAGGTTTCGGGGCTCGTACGCCAACAAAACACTCAACTTTACAGGTATTGTCCTCTGAAATTACTAACTGAAACAATTCTAAAATGGTTCTAAGTGGTCGCAACACGGAAGGAATAGATGGCAATTACGAGTACTCCAACTCATTTGGTAATTTCATTTATTTGTTTTGTTCCAGTTGAACCCAACCTAGACAAGGTGGCCGGAACTCAATTTGTTATTTTCAACCAAACTTCATCTCTTTGGTGTCCAGCACAAGGTGCACCAGCACCATTTATAGTTTGGAGAAAGAACGGAAGAGTGGTACAGAACAGTACAAGTGTCGAATATCAGCTGACCATTACTGAAGAAAACACTGACGAGTATAGCTGTGAAGTGAACGGACAGGATGATGTTGACAAGAAAGAAATCCGTTTTGTCACTGAAAGTGAGTTTTTTCACAAACGAATTAAAGGGGGTAAGTTTTTAAAGAAATTGTGGTGCTTCGTTGGTAGGGTGTATTACAAGATGATTTGGTTTTGCTCTTCGCAAAGCGAAACATTTCGCCCTGACGAAGGGCTAACACTCTAAAAGTCAGCTTTAGAAAATCTTTATGGTGGCAAATTTTCATTGTCAACTCAGTTGATAAAACTGAACTATCAATTTACATACAATTGATTCACAAGTCAGTCTGACGTAGAGGAAAGTATACTGCACATTTGCAAAGTCTGCCTAATCGCAAGAAAAATGAGCAACTCTTAACGGTCTCTAAGCTGACTTTTCAGCTGAAAGACTGACACAATAGTTTTATTTACCAATAGCCCATAGACTCCTGTATCGACCTAATGACTTGTTTATTTTGTCTTACACTGGAATGGTATGAAGCGTTCACGAGATAACTAGATGGCAGCTATCATTTCAGAGTACTCCAATGCACACATTCAGAGAGTACCACCAGAGAGCCTCATAAGCTTTCAGCAAAAAAAGTTAGTACATTCATATCGTCTTACTTTATTCTAGGGTGCCCAGATCCCTGCCGATGTACAATTGCAGTTGGAATCATAGGCGCAGCCACCCGCATTGAGTGTCGAGGAAAACACTTACAGTCAGTTCCACGGCACTTGCCTTTTTCTACAGCGAAATTGTAAGCGTTTCAACCCTTTTTCTTTTGGGCTTTTGGGAGGTGGTCGCCGGAGTAGGTTTGGCATCAAACTTGGCCTCAGATTTCTGAGGAAAACTACGAAAAATCTAACAAACGTTTTTGGAAAAAAGGCTCTCTTCCAATACCTTTAACGGTGACAATGACCGTCATTGTCAGTGTTAGAGGTCATTGACACTTCGACAACATAAATGGAAAACAAGTCATCTGCCGAAGTGAAGTAAAGAGCCTTTTGAACAGACTTCTGTCAGATTATGTTTGTAGCCACGGGCCTTTTACATGTGAGTTGTTTGTAACTTAAGCACAGCTAAAGAAACGAACCGACCACCCAAATGTTATCAACGATTTTAATGTGACATCTTTTAGCTACGTGATTTTTTCTGTTTATAACATGTAGACAGAACTTCAAATTCGTCTCACAATTCTAGCCTATAACATTACCTTGTCAAAACGACTCTCCACTCGACTTTGAGGATGAATGTCACTAATTTCAGAGATGGCAGAAAGTTTCATTATTTTTTTTAAATGGCAAAATAAGAACGATTCTTGAAATTTAGTTAGCATCTGATGAATAAAGTCACTCATCGAGCAAAATTGGACAATAAGTCGATATCTAATTCCAGGTGAAAGTCTTTGTTACGTGAAAGAGCCTCGAATGGCACTAGGAGTCTTGAAATATATAAGGTGTGCAAAATCTTTTATCGAAGATTGAGGTTAAAATTTAACATTTTCTCCAGGCGGGGGGAAGGGGGGTCTGGAAGGAGAGGGGAAATAATCGACATTAATGCACAAGACGTAAGCTGCCAACCTAAATCCAGGACATATCCTCATTTTAGGGACTTAGACAACAACCAAATAGAGGAGCTACCACCTGAAGACTTCCATAACAACTCGCAGTTGGTCGTACTGTAAGAGACTTGTGTTATACTTTTGTTGCTATTGGTGCTTAATGTGTTTCTAATTATTAAATGCCTAACCCTAAGTGTGTGTAGCCAACCATGAAGGCAGTGGAAAAGGGTTGAATGGTTTGTAGATTGGCAGTGTCGAACTGCTAGAAGTAACCTCGCCTACTTGGACCATCTTTTAGTTCAATAAATAACAAAACACTACAATTTTCAAACAAAACCATCAAGTTAGGCTGTTGGTCTTAGCTTTCACGATTATATATTCTATTTTTCTGAGTTTATTTGTTTTATTTGCATATGGGAGATTTCCTGCATGGCCAATGTTCGAAGGGGGCTGGAAGAACACAAAACGCGATCGACTCGAAGTTTTCTCTACTACATCCCACCTTTAAGGCGTTGTCCCTCCCCCCCCCCCCTTTCCATTCTTATTCAAACTGTTTACCGATACAGGGGTGACAGTTTCTTATGTGGTGGTTTAAAAAGTTTTAATACTAGGTTTTATAATTAGGTTGTTACGTAATAACAAGATCAAGCAGTTGCTAGGTGACTCGTTTTCTCAGTTGGTCAAGCTGCGAAGGCTGTAAGTGAAAAGTAGCATTCTTATATCGGTTATTTCACGTGTTTAGGTTTGCGATGTGGAATCCGTCCTGGATTGCACACAAACCAATCACAGGGGGAACCATGCTGTTTACTACTAACTTAGTCGGTCAACTTTTCTGAAAAAAAAATAGGTTAAAGTAATTCTTTCAGCATCTTTTCTCCCTGAGAGTTAAGAAATAGTAACTTCCATCAAAATTTAGGCCGGCGCTAGTCAGAGTAATTAGTTTTTTTAATACTGCAAACCTGTTAATTGACTGATATATAATTTCTCTCCCAAAATTTCCAAAGCAACGAATTCGAAATTAATCCAACGCATAACTACCTGAAAAATCAAAGTGCTCTGTGAGCAAACTCGTGAATTGACACATGATTTTTTGGATTATGTTTAATGTTACCTGGTTTAGGGAATTTTGTGGTTGATTGTCATATCTAGAGTACGAGCAGTAGTTCAGTGTTCGCTAATGTAGCAAAGAAACAAAGTTGAAATGATCATGCTATTACATTTGACAAGGGTGGATGATGTCATGTGTTTTAAACGTATATCATTTTTGTTTCTGGTTCAAAAGAAAAGGTTGGAAGTAAATGTGGGTGAAAAGTGAAATTTACTGTCTATCATTGTAAATATTAGAAAATCAAGGCAATACTGTCTTAATGAAAACATTAACGATTCCCTCTTTATCAAATGAGACAAACGGGAACGGGTTTTGAGTGATATAACTAAGCCAAGACCGCCACCGTCATTTTGGATCTCCACCTGGGTAGATTTTAGTCACGTGCTAGGCAACGTATAATCAATAACAAGGTAGGATTTCATTACAGGCCTATTTATCAATTTTGTGCTGTATAACTCTCGCATTTTAGTACGTAATATGTATTTTGAATCTTCAAATTGTTTTGAAACTTAAAAGAAAATTGTTTGTTTAGGTGTTATTTGATTTTCGTTAGTCGCCGGCATCTTTTATTGCTTCAGACAGGAAAAACACACGGTACGAAACGTAATGATCGATTTTGTCCTCAATCTCACGCCATAACAGAAAAAGCTTTTGAACATCTGTAAACTCCGAGCGCTTCGCAGTGAGTGATATTTTCAATAAATCTTCGGATTAATTTCAAGTTCAAGGATTGTAAATTACAATTTTATGAAAAATGAAGGTTGTTCTGTTATTTCAGTGTGAATCCTTGCATACCTGCTAGTCGCTGGCGCCGCTTGTTGAAACTAAAACGAAAGAAAAAACTCTTTTAAGATTATCATTGGCTTTTTTTTTCACCCCACCACTATTCTTAGCAACAAAGGTCGCCATTTCGTTTGTTTATTGCTCGCCAAAAACTATCAAATGCACTCAAAAGCCTAAAATCGAAAAAACGTTTACAGGAATCGACCAATCGAGCGAGCGAGCGAGTGCCATTCCCCACGTCGTATCTACAGCTTGCTCTTGCGCATGCGCGCAATTCACTAGTTAATGATGATAAAATTGGAAAAATGTAGCAGAATCAAGCAACGAAACGTTGAAAACGTTGTTTTTTATGTTCAGTCTTTGAGGACTGAGATTGTACTTTTCTTAAAGTGTTGACATATATCAATTTGTTCAATCACGTTCAAAATTACAGTAAAAGCGTTTGTTTAACCGGACAGGGCACAAACAAACTCTATTCCGGTCGAAAAAGTACTCAACAGCAGCAACACACAGGAGGTAATATAATTTTAACTAAAGTCATGGAATATCTTTTCTTAGGGCCTTGGATAACAACCAGATAAAGGAACTACCACCTGGAGTCTTCAATAATAACACCGAGTTGACCACACTGTAAGTAACAGACATCCACGCCCATTCGATGTGCTACGAGTGTAATGTCAGTGTTTACTCTATATAATCAAGACGGTCCTCAAGCTTAGTGGGTGTAGTCAACCATGAAGAGAATGAAGGGGGTGGGACTGTTTGTATTTGGACAGTTTAATCAATGATCATTTCCAAGCATATGTCGGTGGTTCTCGTTTCGTAAATCCTATTTTCTATTCCCTTGGTAACGAAGTTTTATCCGTTTGCATAAGCGTGGCCAGAATGTATAGGGAGGTAGTTGTAATCGTTTCCTTTCAGAAGAACGGGCCTCACACTCTGCGATTCTTTTTACACCAGTACTGCGGTCGAACTCGAATAGAATTTATTCATTTTCATGTATTGGTGATGCAAAGTTTCCAAAACTTACAGGTGGTTACACGACAACAAGTTGAAGAATTTGCCAGGCGACTTATTTTCCCATTTAGTCAAGCTGTGGTGGCTGTGAGTGAAAAGTCGTCCTTATATATAAACTATTTCAAGCGTCACAAGACTCACTTTCAATCAATCGCTGGTTAACATAAGACTTATCGTCATCTCCAGTAGATAATGAATAAAAAACTTACGGGTGGCGTGAATCAAACTTCAACAGTGGCAAATGAATGGAGCAAACTCCCCTCGCTAATCAATCATCTTCAGTTTCATAAAAGATTGAACAGGTTACGTTTATTTTGATCCGCCATCGTAATATGCTCAGAGTATCGTTAATCACTAGTGTTGTAAGTAACCGATTAGTGAGTTCATTTCTGATTCATAGAAGTTATCATATTTTGTGCATATTGACGTGTCTTATGCTTAGATACTCGTAGTTCAGAGCATGAAGCGCACTCCCTTGAATTACTCGTATGTTCAGTCATTTCTTGCAAAAGAGTGACATCACAGAACACAAATTAATGTCAGGTTTTCGTAGACGTTTCCCATCTTCTGTTTCACTTTTTTTTGGGGGGGGGGGAGGGGGAAGGAAGGTACAGCTATCCGTAGGCTACCATTTTCAACACAAGTTCACTCTGATTGGCTTACTAGTTTCGGACAAACCTCAGTTACATTTAAGGTGTATCCTTTCCGTAGGAACTTAAGCGACAATCAAATAAATCAGCTGCCATTTGGAGTCTTCAATAACAACTTAAAGTTGACTTACCTGTGAGTAACAAATTAGAACCTTTACGATTGCATCAATTATCCATACATTCGCCTCATTTATGAAATATTAGCAAAGTTTCCTCAAGCTCAATTCATATTGAGTAACAGATGATCGTTGGTAGTTTTAAAGCCAGTTGAATTATTTATGTCATTGGTCAAACCGTAGCCGCTGAAGGTGCAAAACTTTACTCTCATAACCACTTTGTACAACTCTTCCACATGGCGCACTGACAGTGGCATAGTTAATTTAAAAAAACGAGGAAAGGAAGGATGAACATTTCTATTTCTAAACAAGAGCTTACGTTTATCCTAACCGGCTATCGTAATAGAGTCTTTGTATTTGCTGGTTGTAAGCGAAAATTCAATTAGGGTCTTCAACAACAAGGTAAAAATATGATTAGGTTCGCTTGTAAAGTAGCATTGTGAAGTGATCCCCATGTTGTGGCGAATGCATTGGAGAGACTTGAAGAAACCTCACCATAGGCCTAACTTGTAAGTTTATTAGTACATGATAGAATCACGTTAAACTTTTGATTTAAACATTTCTACGTTAGCTTACTGTTGACTTTTTTAAGTTCAGTCCTTGAGGACAAAGATTGTACCATACTTAAAATGTTGACATATATCAATTTGTTCAATCACATTGAAGATTACAGTAAAAGCGTTTGTTTGACCCGGACGGGCACAAACAAACTGTATTCCGACCGAAAAAAGTACTCAACAGCAGCAACACACAAGAGGTCGTATAATTTTAACTAAAAATATGGAATATTTTCGTAGGGTCTTGGATAACAACCAGATAAAGGAGCTACCACCTGGAGTCTTCAATAATAACACTGAGTTGATCGAACTGTAAGTAACAGATGTCCACGCCTATTTTTGATATTAACCTTCTATGTACTAAGAGTGTAACGTCAGTGTTTACTTAATATGATCAAGACGCTCCTCAAACTTAGTGGGCGTAGTCAACCATGAAGAGAATGAAAGAGGGTGGGACGGTTTGTATTTGGACAGATTAATCAATGATCATTTTCTAGCATATGTCGGTGGTCCTCGTTTGGCAAATCCTATTTTCTTTTCCCTTTCTGGCGATATATTATCAGTTTTCATAGGCGTGGCCAGTATGTAGAGGGAGGCACTTTCAAGCGTTTCCTTTTAGAAGAACGGGCCTCGCACTCTGCATTTAGTTTTACACCAGTACCACGGTCAAACGCGAATAGAATTTACACATTTTCACGTATTGGTGATGCAAAGTTTCCAAAACTTACAGGTGGTTAAACGGCAACGAGTTGGAGAGTTTGCCAGGCGACTTATTTACCCAATTATTCAAGCTGCAGTTGCTGTAAGTGAAAAGTCTTCCTTATATAAAAGCTATTTCAAGTGTCACAAGACTCACTTTCAATAAATCGCTGGTTAATTAAAGTAAGGCTGATCCTCATCTCCAGTAGATAATGAGTTAAAAAAAAACTTACGGGCGGCGTGAATCAAACTTGCACAGTAGCACAGTGGCAAATGAATGGAGCAAACTCCCCTCTTTAATAAATTATTTTCAGTTTCATAAAAAGATTGAATCCCGTTTATCCTATCTGGCTATCGTAAGGTGATCAGAGTCTCTTAATTTGCTTTGCTTTGCTTAATTTTAGCAAATATCCAATAAGGGTCTTCAAACACAAGATAAATAAAATATAATTAAGTCCGCTTGTAAAGTAGCATTGTGAAGCGATCCTAATGTTAGGACGGATGCATTGAAGAGACTTAAAGAAACATCAACATAAGCCTAACTTGTGCATTTACTTGTTCATTATAGATTGTGAACTTTTGCTGTTAACATTTCCACGTTAGCTTGCTGTTGTTTTTTTAAGTTCAGTCCTCGAGGACTAAGATTGTACCATACTTAAAGTGTTGATATATATCAGTTTGTTCAATCACATTCAAGATTACAGTAAAAGCGTTTGTTTGACCCGGACATGGCACAAATAAAACTGTATTCTGACCGAAAAAAGTACTCAACAGCAGCAACACACAAGAGGTCGTATAATTTTAACTAAAGTCATGGAATATCTTTTCTTAGGGCCTTGGATAACAACCAGATAAAGAAGCTACCACGTGGACTTCTAAACAATAACACTGAGTTGGTCACACTGTAAGTAACAGATATCCACGCCTATTTTTGATTTTAACCTTCGCTGTGATATGAGTGTAATGTCAGTGTTTACTTAATATGATCAAGATGCTCCTCAAACTTAGTGGAGTAGTCAACCATAAAGAGAATGAAAGAGGGTGGGACAGTTTGGAGAGTTTAAACAATGATCGTTTCCTAGCATATCTCGGTGGTCCTCGTTTCGCAAATCCTACTTTCTATTCCCTTGCTAACTTTCTTTTCTCAGTTTGCATAAGCATGGCCAGTATGTATAGGAAGGCAGCTCCAAGCATATCCTTTCAGCAGCACGGGCCTCGCACTCTGCATTTATTTTTATGGTCGAACGCGAATAGGATTTACACATTTTCACGCATTGGTGATGCAAAGTTTCCAAAACTTACAGGTGGTTAAACGGTAACGAGTTGGAGAGTTTGTCAAGCCACTTATTTTCCCAATTAGTCAAGCTGCAAGTGCTGTAAGTGAAAAGTCTTCCTTACATAAAAGCTGTTTCAAGTGTCACAAGACTCACTTTCAATAAATCGCTGGTTAATTAAATTAAGGCTGATCCTCATCTCCAGTAGATGATGAGTGAAAAAAAAAACTTACGGTTGGCGTGAATCAAACTTGCGCGGAGGCACAGTGAACTCAGTCAACAACACTACTTCCCGCTAACTCAAGCATGAAGGGCACTCCCTTGAATTACACGTATGTTCAGTCATTTCTTGCAAGAGTGACGTCACGGAACATAAATTAATGTCAGGTTTTCGTAGACGTGTCCTATCTTTCGTTTCACCTTTTTTCTTTTGGGGGGGGGGGTGGGGGAAGGTACGGTTACTCGTAAGGTACCATTTTCAACTTAAGTTCACTCTGATTGATTCAACTAATTTCGGAAAAACCCCAGTTACATTAAAGGTGTTTGGAGTCTTCAATAACAACTTAAAGTTGATTTACCTATGAGTAATAAATTAGAACCTTTATAATTGCATCAGTTCGCCATACATTTGCTTGCCATACAATTAATTTTTAAACAATTAATACAGATCTCAGCGCACGAATAAAACATCGAAGTACAAACTGGTGGAATACAAATCCAATATCCCAACTCACAATTTAACAAATCCTGGTTTCGATATAATTTCCAAAGTTATCAATCCTGTTACGTTCACAATTTGTTTAAAAGGAAAAAAATTATCTTTTATCGCCAAATCATGGTCCTGAATTTTACCAGATATCCAAATAGCTTAATGTTAATGTCCCATTACATTACAAAGGAACAAAATTTACTTGCTAATTTACAATAAGACAATAAGTTTGAGAAGTTACACGGTGATATATCCATCAGTTTTGCTGCCGAACTATCAAGTTCAAACCCAATTTTTTTTAAATAACTTGTTTTTTTAATTTTTCAAACATTTTTAAAAACAATTTTTTTAAAAATTTAATTAGCGAGCACCAGTCTGCGAACAGTAGTCGTAAAACTTATTTATTTTCCGACGCGTTTCGTCTAACTGTTGGTTCCCAAATATTTTTCACACCTCGCCCCTAAAAAAAAAATTAAAAATTTTCCACGAGTTCGCCTATTTCTGTTCGTAGGTGCAGCCGAGCCTATATGGTTATTGGCCCCCGTAATAGCCATAGTATGGCTTTTAAATACAAGAGTTTAGCATTAACTTGCAAAACTCCCGTGACAGTGAGACGAAACGCTTCGAAGAATAAAGAAGTTTTACAACTACTGTTCGCAGAGTGCTGCTCACTAGTTAAGTTTTCAAAAAATATATTTGTTTTTCACTCGAAACGATAAGAATTGTTGCACTACACATTACTACGTAAGATTTGTTGCTGTTTGTTAAGTAATCGATGAGTTTTAAAAGCGCCTTAATTATGCTAGGAGTGTTAATAGATATAATAATATAACAAATATATCAATGTTATAGCAAAGGCATGTGTTTGATCAGGCGCGACACAAACAAACCGTTAATCCAACAGAAAAAATAAAATGAAAAAACCTGAAATAGCAACAATTTCTAAAAAGTAACACTTTTAACTGAATTTAGGGAATATCTTTTCTTAGGGACTTGGGTAACAACCAGATAAAGGAGCTGCCACCTGGAGTCTTCAATAACAACACTGGGTTATTCTTACTGTACGTAACCTGCCTCTTCCCATTATAGCTTTGATGTTCCAAGAGTCTAATCTCATTATTAAATAAATGTGATCAAGAAGGTCCTGAAGCGTAGTGGGTGTAGTCAGCCACGAAAGAGGGTGAAATAGAGTGTGACGGTTCATAGGTGGACAGAGTTAAAAAGAAAAGAGTTACCTACTCTCATTAACAATCCTTTCAGTTTCATAAATGATCATATCCTAGCATCTGACGTTCGTCCACGTTTTATAAATCCCAATTTTTTATTCCTTTCATAACTTTGCATTATTTGCCGGTATGAAAAGGAGATTTCAAGTTCTCTCTCTCAGAAAAGGCTTTGTACTTCGCACTTCTTTTCACACCAATACCACAGTCAAACGCGAGCAAGATTCATACTTTGCCGAGGATTGTTAAAACAAAGCTTTCTTAACTTACAGTTTGTTATACGGCAACAAGATCAAGAATTTGACAAGCAATGCATTCTCCCAGCTAATTAAGCTGCGGTGGCTGTAAGTGGATAGTCGTCCTTGTATATCAACCATTACAAGTGTCACAACTCACATCACAATCCGAATAGTGCATATTCCTTTTCATCGATCACATCTTTCAGCCCTTAAATATCTGCGCTGCACACAGACCGATAACGAACGCCTGCAATCAGTGATCCAAGATATAACGGCTAAATCTAACAACAGACAAGATCTGGGTAACAAGATCAGGTACCTCAAAAGCCAAGCCTATCGAGAATCCGTTTTGAGTCGCAAATTAAAACGAGGGTCGTTTTAGAGCCGAATAAATTACTTTCTAATTCAGAAATTTAGCTGTTTGTTTAGTAATCGATGAGTTTTAAAAGCGCCTTATCCTAGGAGTGTTGATAGATATCAAAATATAACAAATATATCGAGGTTAAAGCAAAAGCGTATGTCTAATCCGAGCACGACACAAATGAACTTTTAATCTAACAGAAAAATAGAATAAAAAACCTGCAGTAGCAACAATTTTTAACTGAAATCAGGGAATATCTTTTCTTAGAGACTTGGGTAACAACCAGATAAAAGAGCTGCCACCTGGAGTCTTCAATAACAACACTGAGTTGATCAAACTGTACGTAACCTGCCTCTTCTGACAATAGCCTTTGATGAGTCAAGAGTCTAATCTCATTATCAACTAAATGTGATAAAAAAGATCCTCAAGCTTAGTGGGTGTAGTCAGCCGTGATGAGAGAGAAAGAGAGTGGGACGGTTCACCGAGGTTAAACAGAGAAGAGTAACCTAACCTCGTTAAAAAATGATCATACCCTAGCATCTGTCGTTGGTCCACGTTTTGTAAATTCCATTTTATATTCCTTTTATAGCTTGTTTTTATTTGCCAGCATGATTAGGAGATTTCAAGTGTTCCTTCTCGGAACAGGCTTTGCACTCCGCACTTCTATTCACACCAATACCTCAGTCAAACGCGAGCAAGATTTATACTTTGCCACGGAAAAACACGTTAAAACAAAGTTTACCTAACTTGCAGTTGGTTATACGGCAACAAGATCAAGCATTTGACAAGCAATGCATTCTCCCAGTTAATAAAGCTGAAGTGGCTGTAAGTGGAAAGTCATCTTCGTATATCAACTATTATATTACTGACATGTGTCACAAAACACATCTTTATCCGGATAGTGCATATTCCTTTTCCTTCGATCACATCCTTCAATCCTTCAATATAAAACCTAAATGTAACAACAGACAAGAACTTGTTAACAAGATCAGGTATTTCGAAAGCCAAACCTAGTCCGGAACTGTTTTGAGTCGGAAAATTAAAGCAAGGGTCCCGTTAAAGCTTAATAAATTACTTTCGAAGTCTATAGTTGTTAGTTCCTACGAATGAGGTCTTTTCCAGCAAATTGCCAATAATGTAATTGTAACACTTATTTAACTCTTCTCCTCTACAGACAACTTAACGACAACGACCTAACAGAGTTACAAGAGGGTTTGTTTGATGGTTTAAGAGCATTGACACACCTGTGAGTAAGAATAAAAAAAAATCAGGTTACAAAATGGTAATTGTTATGTATACCGCTGACCACTTGTAGGTGCAGCATTAAATAAAACATGTGCGTTGTTTAAATCCAACATGGCGGTTGCGTGTTCATATGTATCATGGTGTCAAAATAGTAGGATTCCGAGCGAAGCCGAACGAAACTCAGAAAAAAAGATATGGTAGAAGGATACGCTAACTCGTCGTACAACTGGCCAACGAGGAACTGGGCCGCTTCGGACCTGAGTAAAGAGTGGGAGATTTTATCAATATTGCCAATTTGCATTCGGAGGACCGCTCAGCAAATTCACGGGAAAAGAGAAAATATGCAAACTGATGAGCTTTGTCGGTGACGAGGGCCGAGAAATTTACCTCACTTTTCAGTGGAAAACCGTTCAAGTTGGATCGGGGGAAAACAGACATGACATTCGTGAAAGGGACATACTTGAACGAGTCGCCGAAAAATTCAAAGCACACCTCGAAGCTAAAAAGAATTCGATCGAAGACGCCAACTGCAAGGGGAAACGTTTGATTCCTTCGTCAATTACCACAAACTCGTAGCCCGAGGGCAAGACATGACCGAGACAAATAAGTTTATTCGGAACGCCATAGCATGTAAGTCGCTGGATGAACGAGTACGACAACGTTGCCTGGAAAAAAGCAAAAAACTTACACTCGAAACAACCGTCAGCATCGGTCGAATGTTTGAGGCCACAAGGTGATGTCGGGTGAAGACCTGTGAACTGCAGTCAGGAAAGTTTCATGAAACCGAAAGGTAACAATGAGCAGGCTCAGAAATGTGACAGGTATGGACACAATGCACACAAGCCACGAGAAAAGTGTCCAGCCAAGAATGAGTCGTGTAATAAGTGCAGGAAAATTAGACACTTTCCCAAGTGTGCAGAAGTCGGAAAAGCATCGTTAACGCGTTGGATAAAATGAACCGTTCAGGAGAAGAATATTCCAGTGATGAGCAAGGTCCTAATAGGGACTTACATCTTACAACTACTACATGTAGCAAGTCTCGAAATAAATGGGATCAAAGACAATCAGAACGTGAGTGAAAAGGATGAATGGTGTGAATTCCTGGAAGTATTTGGCAATAGCACCCTGTTTTGTCAGCTTGACTCTGGTGTCTATGCAAGGGTGATTAACACCACTCAGCTCAGACAAATAGCACCAAATGCCCTATTAAGAAAACCAAGAAGACATTGGTTTCCCATAGCCAACACCAGATCAAACCAAAGGGTTATGTCACCCTTCCAGTACGATTTAAAAAACAAGGAGTTAAATGTAAACTTCTATCTTGATGTTATAGATAACAAGCAGACACCAATACTGTCCGGCAAACACTGTCAAGCCCTCGACCTGGGCCAGCAAGTGCATAAAATAGATGTAAACTTTTAGGAGTTGTTGGATCAACACCCTGGTGTGCAAAATACGTCTAGAGCCATGCCAGGAACCTCCTCAATCGAAATTGACCCCACAGCAACACCAGTGGTACATGGTCCTCGCAGACGACCCGCTGCATGTTCGAGTTACGAAAAGTTCTCAATTTCTGTCTTAACCCTTTCACTCCCGCGATCTCATCAGTGATTCTCCTTACTATCTGCCATAAATTTTTATGATGTTAGTTTGGAGAATTTGGTATTAGATCGACTTAAAATCCCCTGATCGCTCTTTTTCTTTATTCTCATCTCCTGTCTGCTTGATAATGCATTGACATTGTAAGGAGAAATTCTCTCTTGGTCAAGCATGGGCGTTAAAGGGTTAAATTCAACAACGCAAGAGATAGACGTTTTGAACTTGGACTTGAGTTTTCATTTCAATAATGTTATCAAATTATGTCTTTCCACTTGGTCGAATTAACATGTTCATCAAAACGTATCACACTGAATGAATGCAAAAGACATATCTCTTTATCGTTTGCATTGTAAAAAATACCGTCAATCTTACCAGTTGCAAACATAAGCTACGGGAACCATTTTGTTTTGCCGTTAAAGGAAAATGACAGGTGTCTTCCAGACACTAAAGCCTATTATTCGTCAATGTCTGGCTTACTGTTTCGTCCTTACAGGTTTTTATCCAAAAACCAAATTGGAGAATTGCCATCAACGATATTTGTTAAGCTAACCAACCTTGAGGCATTGTGAGTAGAGATGGAAATCTTGAGATCTTAATTAGTTGTCAGTCGATTGATTGATTTATCAATTTGGGAGATAAGACTGTAAGACAAAATTATAAAAGATCCTGAATGTTAATGTACGGAAAAGAATTGTGACCATGTTTAAATTGCTTTCGAACTGGACGATTTTACAACTATGTGAGGTTTAGGATGGATCAACGTACTTAAATTTATTGTCAAAATTAATCGAGGATTGCTCTTGTTTTGCTTTCATCACCCTTATCACTAATATAAAAACATGCGCCGCCTTTTCAATCAATTGGATTCAAAGCTAAAACCAAGCGCGGCTTGGTCATGCACCATCATTGAAACTTAAAGCCATGTGCTGGTTTGTATTATTTTTAGTGCTGATTGCCTCCGTCATTTTTTTTCCTTTTAATTGGTTGTTGCGGTTACCTTGGCGTGGGGTGGAGAAATCATAATCAAAAGGCACGCTAGATACGTTGACACCGATTCAAATTTCAAATTAAGAAGAAGGTTGGTCATTAACAGGTTTCTGTTTTACAATTTAATAGAAAAATGGAGAAAAATAAGTTAAAAGAGCTCCATTCAAAACAATTTCGCGGACTGGCAAAGCTGTCTGAGCTGTAAGTAGTTTATGTACTGATCTGAGTTTTCTATGGGTCTGGTTTCTGCATGTAAGCTTAGAATATCTCATTACGCTGATTATAAGACTTTACCTAATTGACAAACTTTTTTCTCATCGCAATTTCCTGCGGAAAACGCTTACCCGATCAAGTTTTCATATTTAAGAAATTAAAGGCTATGTGTAATAACTTCCCTATGTTTTTTCTGGAATTCCTAAAATAAATGCATGCGGAAGGTCTGAGGAGATTACCGGAGAGCCTATGGGCCGGTTAGGGTTAGATATAATGTAGATGAATTTTCAGTAACAACTTGTTAACAAAGTTTCGTCTTGTCACGAGCGTGGGACAAAGAAAAACAATTGTGAGTCCCAATGAGGAATCGAACCTCAGACCTCCGGATTCCGCGCTTTGATGCTCTGCCACTGAGCCACAGACACTCCACGGTGAGCTAGGTCTATCACGAGGTTCATAGGACACGCGTGTGTTTGTAAATTTTCCTCCCAATCATGAAAAACGTTATCGATGTCCCGTTCTTTAATTCCCGAAGTTCGCCATACATTTTCTTTTCTTTCTTTCTTCATTAGCTATCTGTCGGGAAACAAACTCAGATATTTGCCACAAGGAATTTTCAAAGGCTTAAAGCAGCTTCTGATTCTGTAAGTAGAATATGAAATTCATTTTGTGCTTAATTTGATCGAGGTGGTATCTCAGTATCTTCTAATAATCACACTTATCAGTTTGAGATGCACAAATCAATGCCCAAAAATTATGTGTATTTTTAAATTTTTTTTTCTCTAAGAGAACTCTTTGACAACGAATTGAAGAACGTTTCCATCGACAACTTCAGAGAAATCAGACAGTTAAAAATTCTGTGAGTGTTTAGTTTTCATAAATGATAAAATGAGAATCAGATTATGAAAGACACTGACTGCCATCAAAGGTTCAGTCAAGATAATAAAAAAGGACAAATCGATACGCTAAGTTTGAAGCAACACTCCGGAAATGCTCTTTTATCCACTGATTTCATACTTATACTCTTGTCTTTAAATATCTATATTTTTTAGATTTTTACATTATAACCACATGAGGGAGATTCCCTACGGATTTTTTGAAGAGTTGAAGGATATATTACGAGTGTAAGATTTTGATGTGATTTATTTGATATGTTTACAATTTATTAGCAGAGCTAATTCAAATGTTTGTTAGCACAGAGCTTCAGGCCAATGAGTTAGTGGTTTCTATACTTTACTAAATATCTATGGTTGGCTTTCTTAACCCAATTGACGACTTTTATAACAACCCCATTTTGTTGGGTAACAAGCCTCACAAAGATTGCTATTACACACTACATTGTTTTATGATATCAAAAGAAAAATTTTCGAACATATTCAATGAAGATTCATAGTAGCAAAAACCCCCATATGAGCAAATGAATTCTGATTGACTGATCTCACGTTACGTTTGCGCTCTTAGGGTATAGGCTTTTGGTTTTATCTTTTACTCTATCCTTACGGACTGAATAGCATCAAATTTTACGGTTGCAGGAGTTTGGACACAAACCTGATGTGTTGTCATATGCACAAGGAGGACGCTGACTGTGCTTTCATTGATAACGACGACTTTGCCAACTGTGAAAACATGTTCAAGAACCCAATCCCGAGGAAGAGCATATGGGCAATCGGCTCCCTTTCCCTGGCTGGGTCGGTGTTTGTCATCACATGGCGTTCAGTCTTTAAGGATACAAACACGGTACAATCAATCATGTTATTGCACTTGGCAGTCTCCGATGGTTTAATGGGAGCATACCTAATCACACTGGGTGTCAAAGATCTGTTGTGGAGAGAAGAGTATTACTTACATGACTTCAAGTGGCGGTCTGGCTTGGCTTGCCAAATAATTGGTGCTACCTCTTTGCTATCCAGTGAGGTCTCCTTGATGCTGATGGCTTTGATATCTGCGGACCGACTCAAGAACATTGTGTTCCTGTTCAGAGGTGGAGCACTTTCGCGGAAAATGACCCAAATCCTTTGCGCCATCATATGGCTCGTCGGCTTCCTCCTGGCTTTCTTTCCGATGTTTGGCTTGAGATACTTCGAAGATCTTACAACATATCACAACTATTACGGAAAAAGTGTAGTCTGCCTTCCCTTACAGCTCTCTCGTCACAAAACGGAAGGCTGGGAGTACTCTGTTTCTGTATTTGTTGGCCTCAATTTCTTCCTCTTCATATTCATCACAGTTGCCTACCTCGCCATATTCATAAGCAGAGTGCGAGTTAAAAACCAATCAGCCAACGCAAACGCAAGGAGGGAGACCGGTCTGGCCAAGAGAGTGTCCTTTATTATCTTCACTGATTGTCTCTGCTGGATGCCAATCATTGTGTTTGGTATGAAGTCGGTTTTAGAGAAGGATTACAAACAACCAGGAGATTTGGCTGTTTGGATCGCCGTGTTTGCTCTGCCCATTAATTCAGTGATAAACCCGATTCTGTACACATTAGCAACACCAAAGGTAAAGAACAACATTTCCTCATCATCTCTGAAATCTAAATCATTTAAGGGTAGACCCGGTGGTCTGGCGGTTAACACGGTGGGTTCTTTAACGCACTGACAGGGGGGCTTCTTAAGCTAGACACTCTAACAGTGACTGTTTCCATTCAGCCGTTTAAACGATTAGTTTTATACTGCCTGGGAAACTTAGCTTATACTTCGTCCAAGTACTGACCTGAATAATCCTGGTTGCTTCACACTACCAAGAGTGTGATGATTATAATATAAAGACGTCAAGCGAGCAATCGATTGAGATCGTTGGCACTTGTTACTATCTAACAATTGATAAGGGAAAATGGTTGGTTGATGGACGTCGTTGATGATAATTGTCTCTCCTCCCCAGGCGCAAGAGTATCTAGGAAGCAAAATGGCAATGCTGAGAAGCTTCATACGGAGTACTTTTTACTGCAGTGAAGATCAAGAGGGTAGTTATGCCCATTTTTCCATTCTTTCTATTACATAGTTCATAGACTAAAGTCGGAAACGTTGTTCTTAATAGAAAAACGTTCTTTCTGTGACTAACGCCACATTTGAGATAGATATCATATTGTAGTAGTATTAATTCGTTTATTTACTCGTGCCTTTTTTGATAAGGACGACAACAAGATCCACAAGAGATTGACGATAACGGGCAACAAGAAGGTAACACCATTATAATTACTTTGTGTCAATTTATTCTCCTCAGGAATCATTTTCATTTCCATTCAGTTTATTTTCATGATGTTGTCCTCCAGTTCGTTTTTTATCTTTGTTTTCCCACATCAACAAGAAGGGGAGGCGATGGAAATGCAGATTCTTGTATTGCCACACCCAGATCAAGGTATTTAACCTATAATTTGCACGCTCATTGTCCCAAAACAAGTAGATATCAATTGAAATTATCATCGCCTAAGACACGCAACTGTTTTTGGGCATAAAAACAGCGCAAAGAACTTTGATGGGGAAATGTACTAAAACATAACTTCAGTAGCATTTTGAATTAGTTTTTTTAATTAACCGTTTGCTGAAATAGAATCACTTAGCGTTTGTATGAAAGTGCCTCTCTTCTAAGTAGAATGACCAGCTATAGATTCGTGTTTAGGGGAAAGACGAGTCTTACACTCTTGTATTTATCCATTGATCAAGATGCGCTAGAGCAGCATGGTGACAATCAAATTGGAATTGGCCAACAGCTTCACAAGGAGGGTATGTAATGACATCATTGTTGATTACAATGTTTTTATAATTATCAAGATCATTTGATTCATTCGAAAATGTATCTCATAAAAGTCGTCAAAAAATCGTTTTGCTTTTGATCTTGTGTTAGGAAGCTTTTTCGCTCACTAATTTATATGTGTATTTAGATCAGCAAGGAGCTGAAATGCTGGAAATGCAGCAAATACCCCCCCAAGAACAAGGTTATTCACAACTTTTTCTATCTGGTCAACTGACAAACAACAACATAAATAATAACTATCCATTTTACTATTGGTTTTCCAGCTTATTCGATTAGCATTATTGTGGTATCTCTTAAACTTTGTTTTCCTTTTAACTTTAATTTAGAAGAAGGTCACGAAGGAGAAGAAGACATTGTTGAAGAATATGATCTGGAATATGATACAAAGTTGTAATCATTGGTCGATAAAAGGATAATGAGTAAACACCAGTTTAACCCTAAACTTCTTAGTAATCTGTAATAAGTAATTAGTAATTATTAATCCTTTTTAACTTATTTTATTGTTATAGATAACAATAATTTTATGTCATCAGGATGATACGTAGAGCTTATAGGACTGTTTATTCTAGATACCTGCAAGCTGTAAGATACGTTTGAATTGCAATGGAAGGGGGGGGGGGTGCCCTGTTAATCGCAACTGATGGCTCAGGAATAAATTTACCACCTAAATGTAGTTAGATTTCCCTTGCTGTAGTCCGTGAACACTCAATAAAACGAGCAATATGTATTATTATTAACAAAGGGTTAGCTACGAAATGAAGATTTCCACCAATAGCCGTAATAGTTTGGTGGAACGCAATAGGTTTATTTAAAGCAAGATTACCTTCCAAATTTTTCCCGATCAGGTCGGACAGGAGAAAATTTCTTGCAAAGTTGATAATTTCATTTAAAAAAAATGTGATCTTCTTTGATATCACTGACCTTCTGATTCAAACGGTTGTTCTCCATATACCAGTCAGAAAAGAAACGTACTTTCTTACCAGAAAATGATGATAGATGATAGAGTTTTAAATTAGAAAGACCAGTCGATATAGAAG